AGGGATCCATCATCATTAATTTCTTTGTTTTGGTAGATAACCGACTGCATAGCTTAGGTGTGGAAACATGCGGACATTTATAAGACACCCTGGGAAAAGCTAGCGGGTGGTACTGCCTCGGTCGACTGGTCCTTGTCTACCACCTTCTTTTTACGTATTAGTGATGTTAAATAGACCTAAAGTGGCCCGTTGGCGGACTTGTACCGCCACCCGGCAATCGGTACTGAGGTATTCCTTAACGCGTGCGCAATCACTTGGAAGGGAAGAAGTTGTATACTGGATACAACGACTTCCGGAACAAGCATTTACCACGGCCCTCGCTCAGTAGGGGACAAGTATATGTTTTTCTTCATATTTCACCCGCATAATTATAACGTAGAAACTGCAAGAAGCCTGGTGGCTGTAAGTCTTGGTGGGTTTACCAACCAGTCGCCGTGAGCTGGGAGAGGATTCAAATTCCGTCCTAAGAATATTTTTCGCTTGGCTATGGATGTTGTGATTGTGCGAATGTGGTAGACAGCTTCAATCTTTCAGGCGTGGAGACACCTTCCGGTGAATCCAGAATAAGTGCATGTCACATGTCATTCACACGTGTTTCCCCGCTAGATTCCGTATGACAACCCCCTTCCCCTCCCGGTATCCGTCTATAGCACAAGGACGGATTTGGAGGAGGGCGCTTCCCCTAGACGCCCAAGTCTTCCATTTTCTATCCAATAATCTGGTAATTATACAAGGTGTCGCAGAAATCGACGTCAAGTTAGAAACGGGGGATAGACCAAGTCATAATAGTTATCAGAAGAATATGAAAAAAATCTAAGTTGTATGCTTTTCAAATTATCGGAAAAATCTACACCCTGTGATGACCTTTGTATTCCCATTATTACAAATTTCAATTTGTTCTTAGACACCAAGGCAGTAACGCCACTTTTATTAATTCGACAATGTATTTTATTAAATTCATAATAAATGTTAAAACTGCCTTCCTTCAGTAGCAATGCAAGCTTGACGTCTTAAAAATTATCGGGTTATCAGACAGGCGAATCTTCCGTTATTAACAAATTCAGCTGCTTCCGTTGTTCTGCCCCGTAGCTCAGCTAAATTTTCGATTGGCTATGAGTAAACATTTTCTTTCACCGTTCCCCAGTAACAAAAATCGAGTGGATTTAAGTCAGGTGAACGGGCTGGCCACGAAACTGTACCAGACCGCCCTATCCATCTGCTCGGGTATTCCGCATCAAGATATTCTCTAACTGAACGAGCATAGTCTCTGTGAAAGCCTAGTGTCACGTCTTCCAATAAATTTGGTAAATGATTTTGTAAAAAGTCTAAATAGATTTCGCCAAGAACTCTATCAGCTCAAACGGTAATATAATCTTCTCCCTCGTCATTTGAAATCAGGTGGACCTGCTCCTCCATTTTCTTCATCTATGATTGAATAATTTTCGGCACTGCGACGTCAAATTTTCAATTGAGATGTCTGCTTGTTTTTGTTAAAATGACATTGACATAAGACCTGTCGCCCGCTAGTATCTCACCTACGTTAGGCGGTTAATCGTACCACCTGATTTATTGACATTTGAATGACGTCACATCCGTCTTTCCCTACTCCCGCACGGGTATCATGTAAAAAACCTATAAAACGTCAAAAAAACCTATAATATGTCAACTTGCAGACTAGGTAGTTGTTAGGGCGTAAACAGTCATTCCACGTTTGCTCACTAGGATCGTTGTGAATGTCCATCTATGGAGGAATCACTCAACTAAACTACGCATTATTGGTTGCATAGCTTTGTGAGGCTGAGTGATCCGGGAGTGTATTGGTCTGCATGTGTATAAAATCAGTGATATTTGCTGTGTGAGAAAATCATTACTGACTATGCTGAATATAACGGGTTATTTATAATGTTGTGCTTTCTGACGAGACGTTATGTTCAAACTTCTAAATGACGAAAAACTGAGGACAATTACGGGAATCAACACCGCGCACGCGTTGTGTGTAATTACTGTTAGCATGTATATGGCTTGTACTTCGACAGTGTTGCTACAGTGAATATTATTGTTTCTGATCTCTCTCATTTTTGAAATTCAGCAAATTTGTATATGTAATTTCCAGAATGTATAAGAAAAAGTGGCTGCGCAACTCATTTCTAACTTTGCATCTCGATTAAGTGTATTTGAGACAAGAATCCAATGTAATTATCATCAACACATACACCTTACAGCTTAGACCTCCAGTAATGCCATCTCAGAAGCAGATTTTACATCATATCGGAGCCAAAGATTGATAACAAGCCTCATGACGTTTATGCAACACGTACATACAACTAAGTGCTAAGTTAACATCTTGTAGAATAATCTACATAATGTCAAAAAAAACAGCATAATGTCAAAAAAAATCGGCATAATGTCACTTTTCAAGATACGTGATACCCGTGCTGTTCTTCGCGTAAATTTGAGTATCAGTTCCCGGTAATGCACACTGCTACACCGTGGATTCGCGAAAAATCCTTCTTGTTAGACATGAATAGTGAGACGTGCGCTCCCTCCCTAGACATATTCCCACCCCTACTCGTCAATTGTCCTACGGGTATTTAGGCTTTAGACTTACGGTGGTGGATCAAATATACCAAAAGCGATCAGTTGTCGCATTTTAAAGCAGACTCACCTCCGACCTTTATCATGTCCGCACTTAAAAACGCAATTAAGTTGTACTACGACGGCGTTGCACATGTCTGGATTTACCGCCAAATTCTCTACGTTGCAGTGTTTTGAATAAAAAAAACGCGTCATATAAGAGCGGCGACAAAAATATACAAAAGCGTTTAATATCTCTTCGATTGTTGATGAAAACAGTATCGCGCCACATTTCATTATTCTGCTCTGGGCCTTTTCCTTGCTTTTCTATATCAATTTATCTTACGAAAACTGAAAAAAGAAAAACGGTTAACGATTATGACGCGTTCACACGCCACTCTCAAGTCACAGAATCGTTATCTGTCGATTCCTAATACATCTATTTCGTAAATCTGATCGTATTTTGTTAATTAATTAATTTTCGGGCCGCACCTACCAGAGATATTTATAAATTGGTGACCAATATTTCAGCTGCATGCCCGCTGATATAAAAAAAGGAAACAACAACCATCTGATATTTTTAACCTTGGTATGATGAAATTAGTTTTTAAGTAAACGCTTTGGCAAGCAGTGTAATTTTAAATAGAGTAATACAGCCTTCCCTGTTGAATTTTTAAATAAATATAAACGAGTTTGTAAATTGGAAACGAATAAAAAAGCTAATGAAGAAACCAAGACGTATAATGCTATTCTAATTGTTCTTTATTATATTTGTTGCAGAATGAAGAATGAGAATTATATTGATCTAAAATATATTCATAATTTTTGGGGCTTAACATGTTTATATTTACTTAGGAATGACTCACACTGTACAGCGGTACCTGGTACTCACAACCCCAGGCCGCGTCTACCCTTGCGCGTGTAACATAGCTGGTAATTTCTGATTCAGAGATATTGGCGCGTTTTTACACAGGGTGTTTCAAATTAGACCTTAACCATTGCGATCTTAGAGACTGTAAGAGATATGAAGTCGCTTCAATGGGGACAAAAATGCGTATTTAGGTAATCAACAAAATACACCTTAGAAAGTTCAATAATTCAAAGTACTTCCCGAGAGAGACGGAAAAAACCGAATTTTCACAAATTCGTATTAATTTCTTCCTGACTCTATTTGTAGTGGGATTTCAAAATAAATTACACATTAACCTTGTCACTTCTTCTTCTCTAGAAGAAGGCATAATTAGAATTACAATATGACATTTCTGGTTAGTCAAGGTAAGTACATTGCTTTGTAAGAATTAAACTGTACCCGATTGTTGTGTCCCCAAACAGTGATAAGTTCCAGATCCCACATCAGAGGTAAAATTGCTATTTTTCTTTTCTCAAGCTTCTTAATACAAATTGACTTGCCACACCGAATGCCTGCATGTAGAGTGCTCTCATCTGCAAAGCTGTGGATCGGATTGCATGTAAACGAGAGGAGATTATTAAAAAATTCATAAAGCTACTTCTATGTAACATTTAGCTTTGTTCTGTTGGAGTGATATATTTTGTATATTAAATTGTCAAATTTCAGAAGACACAGAGTTTTGTATCATACCGCAGTAATGCCTGCATATGATACTAAAGGAATTACTTCAAGGGAAACTTACCAAAAAGTGATGGAAAATGGCAATACATAGTATATTGGCTGTAGTGTCAGTAAAGGCCACTCTAAAACTATCAATAGCTGGTTGCGGTTGCCTGTACCATGTGAAATTGAATCATTGAATGATGCCATTGATGATTGTGGGAATTTTTTAAATAGAAGGATGTTTTTCGGTTAGCCTATAATATGCATCTCAAGTCCATATCACTCAGCTGCTCTGCAGGTCTGTTGGCATTTTTACCATCACACATTCTCAGTAGCTATTGCACAGGCTTTGACGTAATTGGGGTGCTGTGTAAACTTCTCATGGTAGATAAATCACAATGACAATTGATGGTGTAACATTTACCTTTGCACTGGATTTAGAATTCCTGTTCAACCTCGTTTAAAATATTCAAAACTTTTGAGGCGGTATTCATGGATGGCAGATACAATAGCTTATTATAAGTTTTGATGCTAAATTTCAACCTGAATCCTTACAGAAAACTGAGGACAAAGAGACAGAGTCTACACTTTACATGTGAATAGTTAGTTTTTAAAATAATATATGGATCTGCAAAAGGTGTCAAATACATCTGATAAAAGTGACTCCCTAATGCTGATATTTATAAAAATAGCAGTATCTTGATTGCAATCTAACGCATTTTAGTATGAAAATCAACAAGCAATAATCTAGCAGACAAAATAAACATTCACATCCATGATTCACTTGAACAAGTCTGTATAGAAAAAAGACAAGGCCATTGACAAGGTAAAACGAGTGTGACGAAATCCTTACCTGTACTAGAGAATTCATCTGGGGTTCTGCCCCCTGCCATGAGCCATTTGCACCATTCTATGGTCTCCCATTCGTCGATAGCCTTCACTGGGTTCAAGAGATTGTCCAGGACCTCATTCAAGTGTAATGGGTTTCTTCCACTGGAGCAGTCAGCGTGAATATAGGCTGCCGTGGCCCGTTTGCCTTTGGACATCAACACCTTTGCCTCAAAACTGGACGTTGAGGCCATTGCTATCACTAAAATGTCATGTCAGAAGGGAAGACCGAAAAACCACTGGGTTCTATCAAACTGACGCACCACACCAACACAGTACTTTTCTACACGGTACACACTAGATTCCCGTCATCCATAGACTTCGCAGCGGATTCGGAAACTTTCGTTCGCGTTTCACGACGTTCTGAACAGTCCACGATAATTTTGAGTCTTGTATAGATTTCAGGAGATAATAACGAAAATATTTCAGGCTGGTTTTCTGAGTAGAAGTTACGGGGACTTGGTGTAAACAGAAATAGAAAATGTTTCGGATATGAATTAGATTGAGCAGCTATCCTTTTCAACTTCTGGCAGGTTATTCACAAGTCATAGAACTCTGCAGGCACAATTATTCAAAATTAAGCTTTAATTTAAGCTTGCATAACGACACAAAACGATCTGGCATTAAGACAAGAACCCGATTCCAACGTTGTCAAATTCAATCTAGCTTTACACGGAATGTGTTCCATTGAAACCCTTAGAAAAAATAAACCAAATTAGACTGAAAATTCAAAGCTATCAAATTACAGCCTTTAAAGACGTCTCACATAAATCCAGCAGAGAGACTTGATGACTGTCATCATTACTAATTAGTCCAAACAAACAAGTGATTGAGCAGGAAATCCATCAAAATCATTGGTTAAATGCCTTATTTGGCAACATGGCGACGACCAACTTGATCCTAGGGAGTTTTCCATGATACGTGGTTCCTACCGCTAGCGTAAGCATTCAACAGGTGATTCTTGGCTTTCAGCTCCGAGCTTAGACTTGGGAGCTAGGAAGGCAGGTGGTATATGGTTGTAATCGCATTTGGTTTTTCAGAGAATCCATCTGGAAATGTGTCGCAAAGTCAAATGAATAGAAAGGGCACTGATGCGGAAAACCAGAAAGTAGGCAACCCGGACAGCTGGTGCAAGTCATGTAAAGGCTTACGTCGATGCCCTTTGATAGAATAGGGCCGTAAGGGGCGACGTGTATTATGTATCTACTAACATGTGCTAATTCTGCCTGGAGCTGATACAACCATTCGAACACAATAAAATGTCAAACACGTTTGTGACATGTGACGTCATGCAACTAAATTCTGCTACCAGACCATAAGAATTTGCTTAGGAAAATGACAATATATACCAACGTCATATGCTAATTACAGATTGACAGAGGCTGTCAGAATTTGACAGAGCTCGATTTATTTTTATTCTTGTGGTTCTTGGCATTTTTGCGCTTCCTCAACTACAAAATTCAAAAATGCCAGAAGCAGAACCTAGAAATATAGTCGAAAAATTCTTTGCTACTGTAGGAAATATGTTAGAAACACCAGTAGTGTGGGTTAGAGGTAATTATTTGAGTATAACCTCAAATATGTTTATCTCTTTTACATAACAGCTCTACAGTTCACATTATACTCATAGTTCACGCGATTTTCAGAAAAAATCGTCGAACCTAATCAAAAAAGTTATCCATGGTACCACCAGAAATACCGCCGTGTTCCGACGATAGACGAATGCTATACTGACGATGATGTTTGCATCTTTGAGGCAAATGCTCAATACAAAAGAGATAAGTGAGTATATCTGCTCGAAGAAATGTCCTAAATTCACTAAATTATAATTCAACAGGCAAGTTGAGTCCGAGATACTACACATTCTCAGGGAACGTTTTGAAAACTGTACACTTTATGAAGCACCTGATCATCTAGAAAAATGCACCCATCTCTGGAGAGAGTATGAAGATGCTGCTACAAATTGGTTTATTAAGTGTAAGTAAAATTTCTTGAAACCAACTTGAATATTAAACGGGGTAAAAAAGATGAATCTCACAAAAAGTAAGTTTTGAGAAAAGTGAATTTAAAAGTTTGATGACTCCTAGAATTGTTGTACATGGTGGGTCAAAGATTTGACATAGAATCCTTATTATCAGAATTTGAAAAAAGTTAAATTAGATACAAAACATATTTTTGATATACAGGGCAGCCCAAAAGTGAGAGCAGACAAAACGTGTTTTAATAGAAAATCCTTTGTATTTGGGGATTTTCCTTATGATTTTAAAATTTTTTTGTGTTAGCCAATTCAACTTTTTTTTTTGAGATATTGACTATCATCCTGGTAGAATGACAGCTGTTTATCAGTATTTCCCATATTAGCAGAGGACACATAATTCTGACAGATCCATCAATGCCAGGTTGACAGAGCAATATTTTGTTTTAGTTTTTTGTACACTACAGATTTTGAACTTGAACCATGTGAAATCAAAGGGTTGATTAACCAGCAAAATGCTTATCTTAGCCTGTATGTTCTGTTGTAATATGAGAACTAATAGGAAATTCATTACACATGGCCTAAAACATGAGAAATGGGTGATTTTCTAACCTCAATAGATCAAACACAAAATTGAGACAGGAAAAATGTAATGAACCCTAAAAATCTTTATTCAGAAGAATGTAGAACAAAAGAAAATTAATGGTAACTGCTTAAAAATGATTACTCAACATTTATTTATTTCATTGCAGATTGGTGTATGGTAAATTGTTGTACTGAGTGCGCCATCTATTACTTTTTTTTACCTAAAAGTTTATGTGTTAACATGTGAGTTAAAAGTCATGTATGCATAAATGAACTGTCAAAGGTATGCCATTTATAGTCATGGATTCCGTTACAACACAAGGCATTTTGGTTATCCAAACTTATAACGAAAACCGTCGAAATATAAAAAATACTTTACGCAAACTTCGCACTAGTGTTGGCCGACATGAACGCCCTACAGAGCCTGGAATTCGTTGGATTGTTAATCGTTTTGAGGAAACTAGTTCAGCTGAAGGTCGTCGACCATACCAACATGCTCGTCCAGCTCGTACTCGTGAAAACATAGCCGCAGTGAGTGAAAGTGTAAGAGAAGATCCAACCACCTCGACTAGGCACCATTCGCAACAATTGGAAATTAGTGAGACAACTTGACGCCGGATTTTACACATTGATTTACATCTCCATCCATACAAAATCCAACTAACACAAGAATTGAAGTGGGCAGACCATCAACAGCGGCGTGTTTTTGTTAATTGGATGCTGGAAAGAGAAGACGGATTTTCGGCCAAAGTGCTCCTCTCTGATGAGGCTCATTTTCACCTCAATGGGTACGTAAATAAGCAAAATTGCAGATTCTGGGGGGCTGAAAATCCACACCAATATCATGAACAACCTCTCCACCCTGAAAAAGTCACTGGTGCGGATTATGGTCTGGTGGCATCGTTGGACCATTCCGTCAACGGGGAACGTTATCGCGGCATGTTAACAGACTTTTTGTGGTCACAATTGGATCGTATTGGTGCCGACGCCAAACAATCGCCTTATTGCACACGAAATTTCAAGAAATACATATGTCAGTTGGCCCCCGAGATCATGCGATTTAACACTTCTTCGCTATTTTCTTGGGTGTTTTTTGAAAGGAAAAGTGTATGGAATATTCGGACTGAAATTGCGGCCATAGACCTGATTATTCTGGGAAAAGTCATTGAAAATTTTGATGTTCGGATGTTGGCCTGTAAACGAAGCTGCGGTGGTCACATGACTGATGTTATTTTTCATACATAAATGGCATAAACCAACCTTCATTTATCAATAAATAAATTCGATTTCACCTCGTAAAAAGCGTGTTGATTTTTCAAATAGAAAAAAGTAATAGATGACGCACCCTTTAGTAGCTACTAGTTTTGGATGCCCATCAGTGGCCCTTCATATTTTTTTCATACATCTGCTGTGACATTCATCTTTCTTCCCCAGAACCTTTCAATCATTCGCTTAATTCTGATCATGGCTGCATGTAGAAAATTTTCTCAAGAAGCCAATTATTGGCTACAGATGACTTGTGTACCTACTATATGCCCTAGAGCTTTTTAAAGAGAAGAAGACAGCAAATTTTCTCAGGTAGCATGGACACCCATGATTCTAATATGGAAATTTTTGTTTCAGATGGTGATTTAGGAGCATATCACAACGCAAAATCTGCATATATGAAACAGAAACATAGGATGATTTGGGAACGTAGGCATGGACCTGTAGGTAGTGGAGTGAAGAAAGACACTGATCAGGCACCTGCTGAGAATTAATTGGAATGTTAACATACAAACCATATTGTTAACATTGCGTGTAGCTGTTATATTGTTTGTAGTGCATTATTGAATAAAATATTTGCTTTAAACTTCCCCTCTTTGAATAAATTTAATGATAGAATTGTCTGTATCTATATGGCTTCCTATGCACAATAAAAGATAATTTGATGATAACTAAATTATGTCTAGATTATGGTGTCAACTGGATTGAAAGACTAGCTAGTTTGTAAATTGTATTGTAATTATTATATATCTACATTATCTATACAATAATATTAGCCCTTCTGTCATTTTTTACTTCTGACCTATGTCTTTTGAAGGCTAGTCTTTCCCTTGCCGCTTTTTCTAATCTTCGGCGGATTCTTTCTTCAGTTTCTGGAGATGGTTCTTTCTTTTCTACCAAAACATTTCTAACACAACTCCTTATTTTTTCCAAACAATCTGCCAGATTTAGTTGTTGTGATCTTGTCAAATCAGACTTAAAAATCAAGTATCCATCTTTTGTTATCTTTGATCTATACTGTAAAGAATCAGAATAATTAGAATTTTGTATGCACTGAAAACCAAATTTGTCTGATGTCCTGAGCTCAATGTGTACAAGAGAGAAGTGTAAATAGACACATATATGTTAGAAAGAGATAGAAGTTGCCTGGTTAGCAAAGTTCATCACAGCATTGCCTAGCAATGCCGACGCGGCATTCTGCTGACTTGCCAGTATGTTACAGCAGTTAAGTTAATTGAGATGCATATTGAAAATATGTGTTAGTTTATTCTTTACGCTCAAATAATGGATCTATTTTGAGCATACATATTGGTGAATTGTGCCAAATCACAGGATGTGATGATTTTATCACCTTTCGTGGAAATCAAAGATAGTTCTAAAATATAGTAAAACACTGAGTTGCATCAAAATTAAAACAAATAATTCTAATCAAAGTGAACACAATATTAACTTAGATGTTTGAAAAGACCTTCTTTAGTTTAACAGTAACCTAACTTATTGCAGAAGCTTATGCGAACACTTACATGCTAGGCAAGGTGGTGAAGACCATTGCTCTTCAGCCAACTTCTAACTCTTTCTAACATGTATTGATATACACTTCTTGCGCAGACAAATATGGTTTTCATTTTAGAATGGAATATGTTGTCTCATAGATAAAAATTACTTACATTATTTGCCAGCTTCTGTTTGACTTCCTCGCTAAGCCATTTGACTTTATCCACGTTGAATCTCACGTCTACTTTAGTATTAACTTTATTTACATTTTGCCCTCCAGGCCCTGTACTTTTACTGTAAGTTATTTCGAGTTCATCTACAGGAATATATCCATTGAATCCCTTATCATTTGGAGGGGGAGGCTGAAAACAGAATTTAAAACTTAAAACATGACAAATTAATATTAATTTAACAATAAATACCGGAGGAGTAGTCAATTTTAAACTGCTAGTTGGGTACAATTTATCGAGTGATATGGAGCTTTTGTAACTGGATGAACGGGTTGCTAGGTTCAATTGTAGGTGACTAACACTTCTAGCAACAGCTGGGTAAACATTTTTTAGAACTTGGCCGATTATGCTCATTTTGAAACGATATTTTTAATTTTTCAGTAAAAAAATTAGGTTAAGACATGGCACACAAAACATATACACTGACATGACACTTAGATGTCAAAGTTGACAGTTCAGGCCCCAAGCGTTTTGTGATTGAAGCAATGTTGCCAGTCCTCCGATATTAATTACTGTAAATGCAATTTTCGGAATGCAAAGTAATTGAATATATTTTTTTCTCATTTCATTTAACAACAATCGTATTGATACAAATATTGCAATCAATGTATGAGAATGTAATAACATCTTACAGCGCTGCAAAGATCAAATTTTGATTACAGGCTTGTATTACTCTGAAGTAGACTGAGTCAACATGTGCTTCACAGAATACTTTTTGTTTAACCATGAATGATGTTTTGCGGAGAAGAGGTTATGAAAATGAAAACAAACCGCATGAGAAATTGAAAATTTCATATTCTTATAAACAAAGGATATTTCACCGACTTCGATACAGCGGCTTATAAGGATGGCAAACAAACCAAAACTCAAGGAAGCGTAAGTGAAGTACTTTCTTCTGTGTTTGTAATGTTTTCAAGATTTTTCATTTCAGATTCGAAGTAGAGACAAAATATGGAGCATTCTACACTGGAGGCAATGTAGAATGGCACGAGGACATTCTTTACTGCCAAACAGATTCGAACATATCATTGCTGAACACTGACAATGGTACAGTTGAAAAGTTCATAGGTGAACAAAGCTCTGAAGATATTGATGTTGTCCAAACATTTACCACTGATGGAAGATACCTAATAACATCTCACAGAAGCGGGTTATTGAAGATGTGGAATGAGAAGGGTGAATTAGAAAAAACATGGAAATATATACACATAGGTCCTATAGCAAAATTGGCTCTCAAGGGAATGAAACTTGCTAGTGGAGGTTCTGACAGTATAGTGAGACTTTGGGACTTGGAGCATCAAGCTTGTCAATTAGGGCTTAAAGGATGCCAGGGGGTTGTCAGTGTTGTTGAATTCCATCTAGAGCAGGACTTGATACTAGCATCGGGTGATGATGGTAAAATAAATTGCTATGAACTACAAAGAGGAGAAGTCATAGAATCTTACAATGCTCATTACAGCAAGGTAACTGCATTAGTATTTTCACCTGACACTAAGCATTTTGTAACATGTGGTAGAGACAAAGTTATAATTTTATGGGAATTTGGTAATACGACAGCACTAAAAACAATCCCTACATATCAAGCTGTAGAGGTAATAGTTGGTCTCCCAAAGAAATTCAAATTACCAGGATTCAAATCTGAATCAGATGGAATATATGTAGCTTCTGCCGGTGAGAAGGGCGTTATTAGTATTTGGGATGTCTGTAAAGCAAAACAGGTATATCTACAGACAAACTCCCTTGTAACTCCAGCATCCGAAGAAGGAGGGTTAGCAGTAACACATCTCAGGTTTCATATGAAATCAAAATCCTTAGCAGTGGTCACTGTAGATCAGAATATTATCATCTACCACTTAAAATCGTTTGCATGTCTCAAGCAGTTTATAGGATTTTCAGACGAGATCTTAGATATTACCTATGTAGGAAAAGATGATTCATACATTGCTGTTGCTACAAATTCTAATGATATCAAGTTATATGAAAGCACTACAATGACTTGCCAATTACTTAAAGGCCATACCGATTTGGTGCTAGCTTTGAGTGCAAATAAATCTAACCCAGATCTTATGCTCAGTTCAAGTAAAGATAATACTGTTAGGTTATGGCTTCTAGAAGGATCTACAATGAGTTGCATAGCTGTAGGGATGAGACATACTGCTTCAGTGGGTACTGTTGCATTTAGTACCTCAATGAAGTTTGTTGTCTCAGCTAGTCAAGATACTTGTGTAAAAGTTTGGGAGATACCAGAACAGAAGAAAAATGCTACTTTAGAATGTTTGCATACAGAAATAGCTCATCAAAAGGATATCAATTGTGTAGCTGTATCACCGAATGACAAAATCATAGCAACAGCATCTCAAGACAAAACTGCAAAACTGTGGACAGAGACTTTAACCTTAGTAGGTGTATTAAGAGGTCACAAACGTGGAGTATGGTCGGTAAGATTCTCACCTGTTGACCAAGTTGTAATGACTTCATCAGCTGACTGTACCATAAAGCTATGGTCAGTAGCAGATTTGAGCTGTCTCAAAACCTTCGAAGGACACGAGGCTAGTGTTTTAAAAGCAGAATTCATCTCATCTGGATTACAGATAGTGAGTACAGGTGCTGATGGCCTTATCAAACTATTTACAATAAAGTCGTCTGAATGTGTTGGCACATTGGACCAACATGAGGCTAGAGTATGGGCATTAGCAATCAAGAAAGATGAGTCTGAAATGGTCACTGGTGGTAGTGACTCTATTCTAATCAAGTGGAAAGATGTCACAGAGGAGTTGAAGCTACGTAGATTGAAAGAAGCTGAAGAGATGGCACTACAAGAACAGCAGCTCAGCAACTATCTGCAAAATGAGCAGTATCTAAAGGCTATGAAGTTGGCTCTAAGACTCAACAAACCAATGCAAGTATTAAAGATAGTAGAGAATATAATCAAGAAAGGTGATGGAGGTCTTGCAGAGACTATATCTGGTTTGAGAAATGACCAGAAGGAGAATCTGATGAAAACTGCTATCAGTTGGAATATGAATAGCCGGCATTGCCACCCAGCTCAACTTGTGTTGAATATTCTGTTGAATGAGTTGCAGACAGGAGAGTTTAGTCCTGCTGGTTTGGGATCATCATTAGAAGGAGCATTGCCTTACACAGAAAGGCACTTTAAGAGGTTGACTCAGATGATGCAAGATTTGAATTTTATGACATATATGATTAATTGTATGACGCCTCATGCTAAAGTTACTGAATAAATGTTTTTAAGATATCTTTTGTTCAAGTTTTTATTGGCAACTGCAGAAATATCGCTTTTGGAACTCCGGTATGTTTGTAGAAAAATACATAGTACAGCATACCTGTACCAGATTAAAAATAATTCGGAGTATTAACTAATGGTAGTTTTTTAAGGTTTTGAAAAAATATTTTTGAAAACACTTTATATTTTCGACGTTTGAATAATGTTATATTTCTGATTTACATTAACAAATTCAGATCAGTATTCTGCTTTCATTCCTCTGCCAACTTAATTTCTATGTTTATATGCAACTGATAGGAAATGCAGGTATCTTTGTATCATAATTTAAAAAGCTCTACTGCTTATAGTTGAATTGAGTTAATATAAAACTATTTTTGAGAGTCCTTCTGCATGGTGGCACAATTTTTAATAATTCAATTTAATTTGGGCAACCAACTGGATCACATAGACCTGTCTATTGTCTGTTTCACGAGTATCCATTATGGTAGCAGCAGATTATCTAGTAATATATCAAAATTCTCCAAATCGACACATCACTCTGACGGATTTTGCTTTGGTTTTTTGTACGCTACAAATTAATTTTGTACTAACAACTCTTTTATTTTGAAAAGTTCATTTGTATACAAGAAAAAACGCCACAAGCACGTTTTACTAGATTTACATCCATTATTGGCAACATTACAGATTAACACAAAGATGCTCACCTCAGTAGACGTCAAAACGTGATGGATACTCGTGAAATAGGTTTTAGCATGCGTTCAAAATTATAGACTTCTCAACTTCCGCACTTCATTTTTTGAAACTTTATGTGGAATATACTCGTACTATTCAACGATTCATGTAAAAGATACCATATTGCCTATTACTAGTACTACTAGTGAAAACACATTTGTAACAAATGTGTAACATACCTAACTGTGTATTTCATATATAACAAATTTATCGAACTTATCAATCAGATGTAACATTCGTAATAAAGGTGATTACTCAAATATATCACATAGATGTAGCCTGGTTACGTCTCATGATTATCTATGTATACAGTGAAATCTATATACCACTGACGTCGTAATGTGTACGAAAGAGAAAGTGTAATACGTGTGTTAGAAAGAGATAGAAGCACCTCGTTGCCTATCAACCCTAATGACGAGACCTCGGACGCAGCTGCCTCTTGTCGCGTGGCCATCTTTCTATCATAAATATTGCACGCTTCTCTCTCTTACACATTACGACGTCGGCCAAATTTGAATCCACCCTATGGTGAATGGACAAACAGACGTGTGTGACAGCAGGAATGCCATCTGGCCCAGAAGTCATTTTTGGTTTAATTTTTTTAGCGCAGTCCACAGATTCCTCGGTGAACTCTAACATTGGTATTTGATTTACAAATCGACTCAGAGTTTTCAGTCACCTGGTAATTTCAGTTTGTGTGTAATGAGATAGTAATGTGTTTTTCCTTTAGTTAGGTCGACTTTATAGCTACAGCATAAAAATAATAAATCATATCACAATATTTACATATATACATCAATGTCTTATCCTGAATAGCTGATAACCTTGAATAGTATTTTTTATTCGAACATGATCTTCAATACACCGTGCTAGTGATATAAGATATAGGCAGCAACCTTAAAAGGTTTTATGATTCCCGACTGAACTGAAAATGGAGATAAATTTCAGTGGAAAAAGGGCTTTAGTAACAGGAGCCACAAAAGGTAATATCCGAAAAGCGTACTGGTTAATGATAATATAGTGAAGTTTTTTGTGCAATTTAAGGTATTGGTAAAGACATTGCAATCCAGCTATCAAAATGTGGAGCTAAAGTGGTTGCAGTGGGAAGAACTAAACAGTTGCTAGGTAAGCATACTCGTATTATTCGACAAATCTATCTTCATCTTCAAAATAACTAAACCGGGGGTATGACAGAATAAAGTCAATGTGAGCATTCAGACTGTGTAAAGCGATCTAACAGCAGTGTTGCGAACTGTCAAAGCTATTCCGCAGCTACTCTGTTATTCAGCATAAAAGCGCTGCGCCATTTTTCGTTGCCTGAAGGCTCCAAATGATACAATGTTGGGAATGTTCTCTGATAACTGGATAATATAATGCTTCACAATAAAGCATATCATTGGTGCACCTACCACAAAATTCCAATGTCTTTTACCAAGCCTTTATTATTTAGGGGAACTGGAAAAGGAACTGCCTGGAATTGAAACCATAGAATTGGATATCGCTGATTGGAAACGGACGGAAAAAGTTTTGAAAACAATCGGCCCGATAGATCTATTGGTCAATAACGCTGGAATGGGTTGGCTGAAGTCCCTTTTAGATGCTACAGAGGAGGATATAGATAGGTAAACAAACAATGATAGTCACATAACATTATAAACCTTCGCTTACCATTATTTTAACCAGGATGTCTTTATCAAATTTGATCTTACTACTACTTTCAGTGTATTTGGGGTGAATATAAAAGCTTTGATAAACGTAACGAAGATTGTGGTACAAAATATGCTTGATAGAAAGGCGCCAGGGTCTATAGTTAACATCTCTTCTCAGGTACGTAGATATATGAGCATTGAACGTATGGTCAATCTTAAAACTTCTCATTGCAGGCGTCCATAGCAGGTCTTCTACATCACACCGTTTATTGCGCTAGCAAAGGTGCTGTTGATGCTTTCACTAGAGCGACAGCACTAGAATATGGACCAAAGAATATCAGAGTGAATGCTGTTAACCCTACAGTGATCATGACTGACATGGGCAGACTTGGATGGTCGGATCCCAAGGTAGCGAAACCTATGTTGGAGAAAATTCCTTTGAACAGGTATAAATAAGAAGTTAATACAATTTCACATTACAAGTATGTTATTCAGTATTATACGACTTGACATTTTTTGGAGCATGAATCTGCGTAAATGGCAACACTGGCTTGGTGCTGCCTGTACAGCTGTGTGTGGCTTGCTAAAGCATATGGGACAAGTGCCAATATGTGTTAAAGTCACGTCAATTTAAAATTAATATTTTTCTGTTACAGATTTGGTGAAGTTAGAGAAGTAACAGATGCAGTGTTGTATCTGCTCAGTGATAAGGCTAGCATGATAACAGGAGTATGCTTACCGATCGATGGGGGTTTTACTGCAATATAATATAACAAAACCATAAGTCTAGTTGTTACATTCGAACATGTGATAAAATTTTAATAAAAGTGCATAAAACACTATTACCTTGAAGTTATTGGATTTTACAAAATCGTCCATATCAAAATAGGCAAAACGTTGCATGTATGTCTGTAAAATCGTGGCATATCTGGGTCAAGAAAGCAGATAAGATCGTCAAACAAACGTGAAATGCTGTAGTACAAAATGGTTCTCGCTTGGACTGGGAATTTGCCCTGGTGCCTGGGAGACATATGTTATATCAAAGTTCAATTTGTTTGTGCCAACTCCATGCGTTATATTTTTTACTTTCAAAATAATGTTCGGTACATTGTTGATAAGCCTCTTTCTTCACTCCTTCTATTCGTCATTGTCTGTCAGAGCGGTCCGTAGGACCTTTGCCCTTGGTTAAAGCATCGTAAGTCAGTAGGTCTGTCAGGTCTGGTTGCCCAGATACCAGACAAAGTCAGGGAGAAAGAAGGGAAGGAGAGTCTTGACATTGTTTATTAGTACTAATACGAGTATGTGATTACTATTATGTTACTTAGAATATGCCAGTTTCAGAGCGATGTTATTTGGTCAGATTTTCCTGCTAGTTGCTAGCAGATGGACTTTTACGTGAAATGCAATGCCAGTAGTTGACGAGGATTACGTATTACACACATACAAGTATATTACAAACTCAAGAAATGTCATTACAACACTCTGAAATACCAACGGGCAATGGTAAACATAATAACATAGCAATTGAAAACCATGTCACGTTTGTAATGAAATGGAAAGTGAATAACACTGGAGAGGTGATAGCAGATAACAGCATACCGAGAAAAACACAACAATCGAAAGTGAATGAGGAACTAGACTCTTGTACACACGTCCAATCACCGTAATTATATTTTTTCCGAACGTAATAGGAATTGGATATTCACCTTATCACCTGTTTTACGCATTTTAACGCATTACTCGTTTTGGTGAAAGTAGGTGTGCAGAATTCTGAATTCGTCATTTGAACTTCTGATTTGGCGACTTTTTTCATTTGATACACCGAAGAAGCCGCGCAGGCAGAAGCCTAAATGCCAGAACGCCACGGCTGCTATGAGGATCCCAAAGAAACTTTTTTAATCCTCAAAGCCTACTCTTGTAGATTGTTCCACAATCTCGACAACTTAGGGACAAAGGAGCGGTCATATTGGCGAGTTCTGGATGTACGAAGTTCGACATGGTCAGGTTTGAGCATGAAAAATGTAGTTGAGGCAGCAGCACACCAAACATGTGAGCAAAACTCGAGGGTAGGTCTTATCTTGGCCTTGTATAGAGAGAGCCTAGCTTTTTACCAGCCACTGCCGCGATTGATGAGATGCGTTCGTGCTAGATCAAGCCCTCGGTGATCTGGACTTCAACCAACAGAACTCGGCCATCCATCGAAACCGGATGAGTGCTAGGACACTTTTTGTTCGTCAAGGTACAGTTCTGTGTTTTGGAAGCATTTAACTGTAAAAAATTGTTGCGTCCCCAAGCGGTGATAAACTCCAGATCTCTCGTCAGAGAGGATGTCGTCGTAAGTATTCTTTTTTCCAGATCAGAGGCAGAGATCGGTTTGTCACTCGGAATTCCTGCATGTTGAGTGCTGTCATCAGCAAATCTGTGGATTTGATTGATTTTACAGAAAAGGCAGTCATTGATATGTAACAGGAACAGAGTCGGAGCCAATAAGACGGATCTTTGGCGAACACCCGCGTTGACGTTGTAGATGAAGAGGAGAACCCGTCAATTAATGGATATCTTGCGGCCATCGATCTGCAAATCTTTCTTGGGGGGCTATACAATGGAAGTTAGGATACGGGGCAGCGTGCCACAGCTGATCGAACGCTTTCGTGATATGAGGAGTAACAACATGAGCCTCACTTATAGTGCATTTTAACGTTTTAACTTTAGCCTTTCAACATTTTTGTCTTATTTCAAAAGTGTATATTTTCCCCCCTTACTGTAAAATTGAGAAATTCACAGAACACACACTCAATTTAGGAAATGAGCTTCCATCCAAAGTTTACACTAAGCGCCCAACTTTATCATAACATATGACTGGTTGGCGAATTCTATGACTCATGTTTTATATCTCTTATCACTTATCCCATTACTCACGCGGCGCGTCGAACTCATTACAGGATGTTAGGTATTACAAATAACGTATATGCATATTCTGCACGAAGGGGTTTAAAGATTTTAAACAAAGGGGAGCCGCGATGAATCATGCGATCAATTACCAGAGATAGGGGACATATGTGCGTCGATCAAGAAATTTCCATCGCCTATTGTCAAATTAGTACAATGTTTTTTTGAGTAAGGTAATTTTGAAACCCTGTTTGTGTTAAAAATTAATGAAATGAGACAGCACAAAGTGCCAACTATTATCTGAATCGACCACTGCAAAAGTGAAAACACCCGCGACAGCACTGTGGCCGCTATAGATGCCTCCGATTCTGATGCTATAGTAGATACGGTCTACTTGGCGTTGAACAAACTACGAGAGTAGTAATTATTACGCAACGCTTTTTCAAAAACTGATTATATTAGATTCGGAATTTGATATTAATTTGACGTTGGGAGTTTCCAAACCACCAAGTTGTTGCCTCGAATTTGTCCTCAAGACACTTTGCAGATTTATAAGTAGTAGTAGTAGTGGTGGGGAGGCAAAGCCAAGCAAGTAGTCCACCTTTTTCTATTTTTGGTAGTAGTACTAGTAGTAGTGGCGGGTTGTAGATTTATAAACTGTTATATTATTTGTACTAAGCGCTTCAGATTACCAGAGAATATAAAGTTTATAAACTCATCATGAGTATTACGGGTATTTCAAATTCGAAACCATTGCCTTGGGATCTCGGAAACAGTAAGAGATACAAAGAAGATCAAATAGGACCAAATTTCCGCATTTATGTTACTAAGGAAATGGAACTTGCAATAGTACAAAGTTTCGTAATTCCGAGTATTTCCGGATATAGACGAATTTCCAAAAATCGTTTTTACTTTGTCCTGACTATTTGAGATGGGATTCCAAAATAAGAAGATTAACGTTGCCACTTTTTCTATGTATACAAGATTGTCTAATTGGTATTTCAATATGACGATCCGTCTTTGGTCCTCAATCACCTACCTTATTTTCTCTTAAATAGTTTTTAATTCTGATTCCAAATATGTCATACATTTACATTTACAAACCTTATAGTTATTACAAAAAACAGTATTCACTAAGAGGTCATTGAAATTAGTTAGTCATTTGTTTCATATCATCAGCCAAGCAATATTCGTCGTTTTTATGAAGTAGGCATAGGTGAACAGTCTCTTCTTTTGGGTTTTAAGGCCGATTTACATTTCAATAAGTACAGTAGCGAGTTAAGAAATCAGTCAGTTAAGTATTAAGTAATAAGTATTAAGTGGCGTCCAAACGTACGCGAGTTAAGTAGTCATAAGTTGCCGTTCGAAGTATAGGACTAGTCGCGCCTTCGGTTGTTTTTCTCCTTCGAAACGGGGAATCCAGAAAATGGACGTTGAATTATTTAATACCAATGTGCGTGCTATAATAAGAGAAATAGTATCAATACTTTTACAAGTTCTTGGCTGTATGTCGATCTGATACTTTTTATTTTAGAGATAGCCTCCTTCGGGCCGAAATCACTTATTTTCATCCACACAAATTTTAATAATTGCCGCATTTCTAGCTAGTTTATTGCGGTAATTATTGCATTTTGTATTAAATAAACACTCATGTTTAAGGTATTCTTCTACAAATGCAAAGGTAGTATTATCAGACCACTTCATTTTAACACGACAAAATAATAACACGTGGTCGCGCGCGGTCGCAGTGCGCAAACTTATGGACTGTACTAAACTCAGCCGTCTACACGTCAGCCAGTTAGGTTGGCGGGGGTGCGGGAGACGCGAGGGCTGAACTCGCCGAAAAATAGGATAACGATCTATTCAAGTCAACTTAATTAACAACTTATAACTTAACTCGCTTTTGCCGTTCAAATGACAATAACAACTTAACTCGGCGATGACGCAAGTTAACTCGCTACTGTACTTATTGAAATGTAAATCGGCCTTAAGTGATGTGCTATTGTACATACAGATCATGATATATGATGGATTGATATTATTAAACATCTTCAAATGTCTAACGGCTGTTAGCACCGACCAATCTTCCTATAGTTGATCTTAACCCCTTACTGCATGATTTTTTTGTTTTTGTTAAAATAAATATATGTGCTAGTTCATATTGGAAAAGTAACTAGAAAAATATATAAAAAAATTATTGATGCTTTTTTTTTTAAAAAAAATAGCCTTTTTCGACATGTGCCAAATTTGACACAAATTGCAATAGTTGAATAATAACGGAAAAATTTACTGAAACCATATATGTTATAAATCGTTAAAAATACATGGGAAAACACCTAAACTAAATGTAATTTTGTATAAACATTTATTAACTCCAGATGAAAACGGCGAAAACAATTACGGTCTTTGTTCAAACATAATCTAACATTACATTTATCACACCAAACTTGTGTTTTCCCCTTACACTCAGGAAATTTGCATCTTTGGCGATCTTCATGTCACTCAGGAAGATGTCCCACATTGTCGCAACGAATTTCTTGGGCTGGTATTTCCGCAAAAGGATATTTCCTTTTTTAAAATCCAGTTGAGGCTGTAGTGAGCTATTGGGTCTGCCTCGCTTTTTTGAAGTTACGTGGGATCTTGTTAGAATTTCTGCTAAACCAAGTTTGAATTCAGCCAGTGGCAAATAGTTCTCAGTGAGAGCTCTTCTCCACAATATCCAACTATTTTACAGCACAACATGTAGAGGAAATGGAAACATATTCTTAGGTAAAATTTCTTTGACCTTATAAGTATCCTATGGTATCCTAACATCGAGTCAAGTAGATCAACACCTCCCATACAGATGTTGTATATTTCTATACTCTTTGGACGAGGAATCATAATGTGCTTTTTTCCTTTCTGCAAAATCTATATACTTCGGAAATGGGCCGACTGCCTACGTAAGTTGATACTGTGGTAAC